CGTCTTACATCTCAGAAACTCCAGTCTGACCCGACATTAGGGAGGTCAAGTGTAGGGGAACTCTCACGGTTGCTCTCCCAATATACACACGGCCCCACCTGATGACTTTCCCAGATAGTTTCTGAAAAGTCCAGACCTGACCTCACATTGGCCAGGTCAAATGTAAGGAGACCCTTCGCCGCCGCCCCCCCGGCCAGCTCAACCTGACGGCTCGCCTCCCAATATATAGGACGTCCTAGTCCTCCCTCAGGGAATTCACAGAGAGAGATACCCGGAGACAGAGCCAGTCCTCCCTGGGACACACAGGAGTTCGCAGAGAGAGAGTTGTCTTGTAACAAGGTGGCCAGCTACTACACCGAGTCCTGCTAGAGAAGTCAGGGGCCGGAGGCAAGTCGCCTCCGGTCGCCGCCAGTCGCCTCCGGTCACCTCCAGTCGCCTCCGGTCAGGACCGAGACTTCCCTCCGGCGCCCAGCTAAGCAGTCTCCCATAGAGACAACCCAGGACTACCTGCTAGGCCTCCCCTAGGTCACGTGAGTGTTTGTCAGAGCTTTCCATGGGATGAGTTACTTACGTGGGAAGTGTATTCATTTCATGTTCGTGTCCGAGAATCAGTGTCTAGTAACGTAATAGATGTGTATTGACGTATAAGATACGATAAGTGTACGATAAGTGTAAATAACTATCACGGCCACGCTACCAAAATCTTCCTCTCTTTATACTCTTATACTATCAATATTCTACCTATATGTAATCTTCTTCTTGTGAGTTTTGTCTCATTACAGTAGCAACAGAGGGCAGGAGTAGGTGGGAGATGGTGGTACAGAGTGTAGCGAAGAGTTTTTCAATACGGTTGGTAAATTCTTGGAAGAGGGATATGATCTGTGTCATGTCACTGGCGGGGGGTTGTGGGGGGGCACCGGTGGGAGCGCAAGGCCTGACAGCCTCAGAGTAGAGACGAGGAGGAGGCCCAGTAGTAGTTGAGTTAGGAGACGGCCGGGACTGCTGTGTTGTAGCCAGATGAGGCCAGGCAGAGGCAGGTGTTGTTGAAGAAGGCATTGCTGGAGACACAGGGTACACAGGGGGGTGTGGCCCGGAAGACTGGGGGGGGCGTTGTGGTAGACTTGGCCTTCGGGGAGGCTTTTCCCCTGGGACAGACGGGCGATTGGGGCATTGCCGTGAGTCAGCATTGTGTGGCCGCCACAGTTACAACATCTGGGATTAATTACATAGCCCACCCCACCACTGTTAAGGTGGTCTTTGATTTTGTGGGCACAGGCGGCGGAGTTGTGGTTACATGAACAGAAGCGACATCTGGGGCGATCACGACGACAGCAGGCAGTGAAGTTGTGACCCCAATGAGAACAGACAACACAGAAAGCAGGCTCAGGATGATAGGCTTCTGCATACAGTGGGGGTAAGAGTGGGTGGGCATTCACAGTGGTTGGGCACTCCCTTCCCTTCCACTTGACAATGACAGCGGGTTGTGGAACTCTCCCCCGGTAATGGCGACGTTAAGTCACGCGCATCTTCGATGTCAGCGTATAAGGGGAAACGTTTCACTAGGATGTGGCAACAGTCATCCGCGTCTACAGGGGGGGAGCAGCAGGACGACCCCGTCAAAGCCAACAGTACTAAGTGTTTCATAGGCCTCAGGAGTCTGACACTTGATAAAGTTCCGGTTCTTACCTTGTCGGAATTCAATGCTGAAACCGTGCTGTCTGCAGTACTTCATCATCCAGTTAAAGCGTTCCTCTACAGTTTTCAGAGAGTCCTTGGGGAAGTGGAGATTCAGCTTACTTGTTTGTTTGGCAGAGGGCAGGGTGATAGGGTCCATGGGATTGGTGTTTCCACTGTGGCTAGCGTTTCCCATAGAAACATTAGCGTCACTGTCATAATCACTGGGGTCTGACTCTTGAAGGGTGTTGGATTCAGTATGACCAGGCGAGTTGGTAATGGCATCAGTATCACAGATGTCTGCGTCTGCATCTATGAGAGAGCCTCGTCTGGGACGTTTATGTCGACCCCCCATGCTGGCAAAACATGCCGGCAGAGGGGACCTTGGTGGGACGATCGGGAAGCCAAGAGCATCTATGGGCACGTCTGTTCCCTTGGGTGGTCACGCCACGACTGGGAGGGAAGAGGTGTTGGTAACGGCTGGGGACCTGTAGGAGGAGGTCATAGGGCAAGTACTCTTTGTAGTGGCGGTTGTCGTCACCGGTTACAGCGTCATAGTGGCGTAGTGTGACGCTGCCCCGTTGTTTCAGGTGTGTCCAATGTTCGTCGAATGCTTCTCGTTGTGTGGCGTATATGCGAGGTTTGAGATGATTCAGGGAGAGGGCGAGGGTGGCTTCAATATCTTCTTCTTGTGTCGCTTCTTTGGCAAGTCGATCAACAGTGTCACAGGCAGTTATTCCTATATGTGACGGGATCCAAATAAACTTGACACGGATGTCATCAGTTTGTTCTAGCCTGGCGATGGCGGCTAGGGTGTGTTGGGCGGCAGGGGAGGAGGGGGAGGGCGATTTAAGCAGTGCCGGATTAACCATGAGGCACTTGAGGCTCTGGCCTCAGGCGGGCCCCCGACTCTAAGGGGCCCCCAAATCCAAACATTCTCGAAGTTGAAGCATATAAAACATGAACTTCGTTCAAATATGTCCTAGCAACGTCTCTAATTTTCTGTCTCTTGTGAACATTGAATGTGTTATTTTGCAGAAGCTTAATATTGATGAAATCATTGATAAATTTTGGTATATTTTGTTCTTGCTATATATATATATATATATATATATATATATATATATATATATATATATATATATATATATATATATATATATATATATAACCTTGAGGGTAGGGGGCCCCAAGTTGATCTGTGCCTCAGGCCCCTGTTAAGCTTAATCCGGCCCTGGATTTAAGCCTCGCTAGTGCAGAAGTGCTGTCACTGATTATAAGGAGGTTCCAGCGTTCAGTGGGAGCATAGGCCGCCCCCTCATGAATGCCCGCGAGGATGGCTATGCTTTCAGTGTCAGTGGAAGAGGCCCAGTCGTGGACCCTGATTTTCCTGCGGGGCTGGCGCTCAGGAATCCACACAGCTGCCCCAGCGCTGCCCAGCGTGGTAACAGACCCATCACAGTAGACGAGGATAGGAGGGTGGGAGGTCGTAAGAGTGTATACAGTTTACATTATATAGCTACCAACAACAAAAAGTTTTTAACATTAGATACGCTGAAATTCATTTCACTTTACATTTTCTTTGAGTATCATCAGACAGTAGACTAAAGCAACAAAGTAGTCCCTTTTTATTTATTGTTTTTTAAATTTATTTATCATTTGAACACTTATCAGCTTACTAGCATTTGGGCGGTTGGTCTATGATCTATCCAGTGTTAGTACAGGAGGAAACCTGTGATATTTGGTAGAGTCACATTGGATAACACCTTTTCCTTGTACGTCCCGGGCCACGCTCGAACCCATGATATATTATTAATGAGAGATAAAATTACCACGAAATGATCTCCACTATATCTCACATATATTATAGACAAATTTGTTTTTATTTTTACAATAATTGAAAATAAACATTTATAAAAGCGAACTGGCAATTTACCATATCAAAACCTATGGATGCCCCACCCAGTTAAACAGTTTTAACTCATTTTATTATTTCTAATTTATATTGAATAAATATTCCTTGATATAGTTATTTAATATTTGTGAAACGAAGTATCTATAAATAAATATCCAACATCTATATTATTAGCTTTGCGCAGTGGTAGTATCGTAACCAATGAGGTTTATCCGAGGTGCGATTATTGCTCGTTGAAAACTCTCCCCAATACCCCGTCTAGTCGTCGTGAAATACCGACGGCAACGACATTTTTTGTTAGCCCGTTCCAGGGCTAAATATACTGAATCTAGAAGGCAAAACATGACCAATCATATAATCTAACTATGACATGGTTCGTGTGAGTAATCATGAACAGCTTTTCCAGGGTAATCCCTCCTGATTTGCCAGGTCCTCGCACAGTATACAGTACAATACCTAATTATCTAAGTTCGTGGATTACAGACTACAAGTCATTTATGTCACGGGGTCCATACAAGAATTTGTATTTTATACATTACTCAAGAAAGAAATACGGGTTATTGATAAAATGGCATACTATAATGTATAATTATAGATTACAGAAATATGTTCTAGATTCCTTAGTATAGTCAGAGGAGTGTATTTATGATTCAATGTCATATTTCATATTTCTTTCTTGAGCAATATGTAAAACGTAAATTGTGTCTTGTATGACTCCTGTCACAGAAATGACTTTAGTTCGTAATCTACGAATTTAGTTAGATAACTTGAGATAGTGTAACCAGAATACTCCACGAGAACATGGAAACCACGGATTTCCCTAGAAAAAGAGACCTTAATTAAGATGAATTTATTTATTCACACATGAATCAAGTTAAGGTGTAGTTTCAATTGAAAGTCATGTTTTGCCATCAGATATTCATTATTTTTAGCCCTGGAACGGGCCAACAAAAATTGTCGTTGCCGTCGGTATTTCACGACGACTAGACGGGGTATTGGGAAAAGTTTTCAAAAAGCAATAATCGCACCTCAGATAAACCTCATTGGTTACGATACCGCCACTGCGCAAAGCTGATGATACTTCGTTTGTTAGAAATACATGTCTACAAGGCCTTCATTTAATTGTTAGAGTAAGACATTTTTATGTAAGTGTGAGCATTATTTAAACATTTATGGATATTTCTTGATAGATACTTATTTACATACATATTAACTAATTATAAACAGAAATATCTAATTATTTGAGCTTAAACTTCAATAGAAAATAAGAAAAACCGTAATAATATGAGTTAAAACTCTTTAACTGGGGTGGAGCATCCATAGGGTTTATTATGGTACAGGCTTCCACGGGCGGCCTTACTCTACAGTCACAGCTGGCGGAAGAGCTTCAACGAGCAGGTCGTTTAATACAATGACGGAATTGGGTGATGGATACAGCAGACACAGCAATGTAGCCCTAGCCCAGGGTACTGCTGGGGACTGTTGACGGATTTGGAGCTGACTAGCAGCAGTGAATGTGAAGAACAAAAGCTGTTTAAAGTTGTGAATAGCAAAAAGAAGAATAAAAGGAGGAATAGAGATGGTATAAGCAGTGATGATAATATTTCCCACTTGGTGGATAAACGAAAGAAAATTGATGGTGTGAATCATTCTTCAACCAAGATCAGTACAACTAGTGTAAACCCCATTGATGGTTTAGATGGCAGCAACTCATCAAGGAAGCCACGTCTTTACTACCCCAAGGATAATGGCATGGATTTTCATGATAAGGTAAAGTGGTCAGTTAGACTCACTAAGCGCCATCAAGGGTATCAAGTGCTCTTTAAAGAAGGTAAACATATTCCTTATATTACTGTGAAGGATGAGGAACTGTTAGATATTTAACTACAGAAGGTTTTGAGAATGTAGTGATGGAAAAGACTGTCGAGTCCATTGGGAAGTGTACTAAGATCATTCTTTTTGATTATCCTGTTTACCTTGACCCCGAGGATGTGTTGGCTGACGATAGATTTATTAGGGCCAAGAGACGTGTAATTAGATTTGATGGACCTATAACCTAAGCCGCAGTTAATTGCGATAATCAAAGGTTCGGCGCCAGAGGAGGTCTTTGTGAGATGTTTGGGATATAAACGGGTTGATATCTACGACGAATCTCCAGTAATATGCTATAAGTGTTACAAGTGGGGGCACATGGCGTGGAAATGCCATAATGATTTTCGATGTAGGTTCTGTGGAAAAATGCATGAATCTAAGGTATGTGGAGATAAACTTAAGGCAAAGAAGAAAATTACACCAAAATGCTGTAATTGTGGGGGGCTCACAATGCCAGCTCGTGGGTGTGTCCTAAAAACCGAAAGTTCATCAATTGCAATCACGAGCTCAGTCCATTAATCAAGAGGATAAAGGTGACGCTGTAAGGAGCGATGTTGCAGGGACACCAAGTGCTGTAAGTGTGTGGGAAAAGCGAATGGAAATACTTAATGCAGCAGCACAGAAAGACATAGGTAACGGGGGCAATAACCTTATAGCCAGGGCCGGATTCAGGAGTGGGCAAAGTGGGCAGCTGCCCAGAGGCCTCCACATATTGCAATATTTTATTTATTTGCTTATTCATTTGGATTATTTTTATTTTCATTTTTAAAATTCATGTTTATCTCTTCCATCACGTAAAACTATGTTCAGCAAGAAGCGTGATAGAAATTAGGCTAGTTACTCCTTGAAATTCATGAATACCTGGTTTTCCTATGATGTACCTGTCGAGCAGTTGCAGTGAAAGCAGTTGTCCAAGGTTATCTCCCAATCCGTGAAGCGCTTGCTAAAATAGCTAGAGATGAAAATGAAACGAGCAAAACATGTTATGAAGCCAATGGTCTCCATGATAAGATGTGCAAGTTAAAGACTGCTATTTATGCTGTGTTTTGGCATGGCATTCTTGGCAGAGTTGATGCAACAAGCCATGCATTGCAAGATCCTAAACTCGATTTGAACACAGCAGTAGCAATGCTGAAGTCCTTGGAATGTTTTGTAAGAGAAAAAAGAGATTGCTTCCATGTTTATGAGAAGAAGGGAAGGGAAATGTCAGAAACTGGGGATTATTCACAGACACGCAAGCGTCAACGTAATGTACGACTCAATCCATTGGATTATGGACGATCAGAAGAAGCAGCCCTCTCACAGTCAGAAAAATTTCGGGTTCAGAATTTCCTTCCAGCAATTGATCAGTTTCTGAGTTCACTGGATCAACGGTTAAAGGCCTATGAGGAAACCTGTTCACTTTTCGGGTTCTTGTCTAAACTGGAGTCAATGAATTGTGACGAAATTGAAGCAGCTGCAGCAAAATTGGCTGCTGAGTACAAAAATTATTTGGATCAAACACTTGGAGTTGAACTTGTGCAGTTTACAGCATTCTTCACTCAATTTCTTGAAGACGAAGATGATGAGAAAGGGAGGGCACATTACCTTTACAAGCTGTTGATAGACAAGAAAGTTGTAGATACATTTCCAAATGTTGAAATAATACTACGGATGTACTTGGTGCTCATGGTCACAAATTGTTCTGGAGAACGTTCTTTCAGTAAAATGAAGTTTATTAAAAACAGACTTCGTACTACAATGTGTCATGATAGGCTCAGCCACCTGGCTTTGATGAGTATCGAATATGACATCATCAGAGAGATTGAC